ATTCCGAGAAAGGTGCGGTTTGCGAGCCAGACTTTTTTTTCTTTTTAGGGGCTGAATACAGCCCTGTATATGTACTGGATAACTTACAATTCTTCTTTTACAGAAGAAAACAAAGAATTGGAAGATATCCAGTTGATATACAGGGCTGTATCAGACTCTAAAAAAATAAAAAGTATTGACTCCCAAGCAGCAAGCTTTCTTGGAATGGCTGTACTGCTCTGACTGAAAGGTGGAGGGAAAGAACTGATGGAATTGCTTGCCAATTTTGCAGGTCCCAAGCCAGGCAAGATATATCAATTGATCTTATCAGCTCCAAAAGCTTCCAGTGATCCTCCCCAACTGTCCCAAAGGTGTTTTCAAAATTCTCCATTCATTACAAAAACTCCAAAGAATAGTCAGACTTACTTATCTGCACCATCCATCCCATAGCTAGAAATTCTCTGTTTCCGCGATGAAAATAACTTATCTCAGTGGGTGCCTTATGCTCATTGTTACCATATTAGGAAGTGGCAATGTTTCCGGGACGGAATCATGCGTTAAAACAAAGGTATATCAACCAGCCTCATGCGCAAAGCATGGCTGCACGACAAGGGTTCAGGACGGCCAATATACCTACAGATGTAGTGATCCATATTGCCGCAACAATGACTGTGGCACAACGTGGTATGACACCGGGAAAATCTGCTACACTTGTCAAGTTAAAGGTATGTATATCACAGTGGAAGTCTTTATTGTGAAATATTCAAGACTTTTACTGAACAAACCAATTTCTGGGTGTGGCAGCAACGGCTCCAGCATCTTCACGGGAACGATGAAAGTGTGTGAAGAATAAATTTTAGAATGTATATATTTGCATCTGCTAGAATGATAATTAGATATTAAAAGGAATATAACACATGACAAAGGAGGGTATTTATACCCAAGAATAAGGATGTGACCTGGAACCTGATAACCCATCAGTACCCAATGGTTACCAAGTCAAGTTCCTTCTTCTCCCCTCACTCCGACACCCTCCCTCAAAACACACAGTTCTATTGGTTCTGTTGGAATTTCACTCCACATCTCTCTCTGTTTTCTTATACTTCACTAACATGTCACTCTTAATTTTGTTGTTAGGTCAACAATGATTGTTCTTTGTTCATATTCATCATGCATCAGTTACTGCTCCCACAACTTGATCATCTTGTATCTAGATTATTTAAAGACCCTGAGAAATCTAGGAATCCAATCATCAGTCTTAACTATTTTAAACTGGTCCTAAGAGGTCACTTAAGCCTCCTCTTAGCTTATTTCAATTGCACTTTAGCCCAATTGATTAAGTATGAAATATCCTCTCTCAGAATTCTGCCTTCTCTTGGCTCCTCCAACTCTTCCCTTCTCTGACTTAAATTTCATCAGGTTCAACTTCCACTCCAGGGAAATTGAACTTAAATACAGGAATCTTCTTCCCCACGCTATTGATAGAAAAATTGAGTTGTATTGTCCCTGGGATCAAACAAAAGGGTGAAGGGGCTCAATGGGATATGGACTGTATGCAAACCTACTTGATGGAAAAAACTGAGTCTGAATGGTTCCAACTGATTGCAGTATCAGTATCACTATTTGGATACTTGAATTCAATGCATTACTTCACAACTAGATGAATTGCTGTAGCTTCTCTTGGATGTGTATATATAGCCACGATGAAGGACAACCAACTCAGTTCTGGTGAGTCAGATGAGATTAGTTTCCGTTACCTTAGTGGTGATTTAATGCCAACATTCATTGCCACTATCTGGTGAAACCCTGAATATCAGTGTAGTTAACTATTCCTGATCATCTGGTGCAAGTTGTGCACAAATTGAAACAGTGAAGTGTTGCTATCATGACACATCCTCCTCCAAATGAATGAGTTGGTTGACAATTTTAAGCTCAAAAGTGTTCCTGAGAACCTTTTGCTTGTTGGAATCGGGGGTTGATAAGCGCACGCCAACCCCCATGGCGCACGCCAATTAGAGATGGGCGCTCCGCATCCGGATATCCGTTCGGATGCGGATATCCGCTCACATTTTTAGCGGAATTGCGCATCCGCATCCGCATCCGCATCCGCTGGCGGGTATCCGCGCGGATATCCGCGGATATCCGCCCCCTTTTAAGGGTAGATAGTGTTTTTTTTTTTCAAAAAAAAAGAAAGAAAAAAAAACTGGTTTTTGAACCAGCTTGTCGGGAGGAATCCCTCCCGACAAGCTGGATTGTGTACCCTCTCGTCGGGAGGGATCCCTTCCGACGAGCTGGTATGTATACCAGCTCGCCGGGAGGAATCCCTCCCGACGAGATGGTACACTATCAAGCTTGCGGGAAGGGATTCCTCCCGACAAGCTGCTTCACAAACCAGTTTTTTTTTCTTTCTTATTTTTGGAAAAAAGAAAACACTATCTACCACTAAAAGGTGGGCGGATCTCCGCGGATATCCGCGCGGGAGACACGCGAGCGGCTGCGGGGTGCGTCTGCGAATGCACAATTTTAGCTAAGAATTTGAAACGGCTTTCCGCATCCGAAACGAATAATCTGCTTGCGGAGCGACATCACCTAATTGGGGGCGCCATGGGAGATCGGCGTGCGCTTATCAACCCCCGAATCCAA